AAGGCAGCCATCTGCGGTGCCAACTCACACACACACACCAATGGCAGTGTTGTCCCTGCAAGGCACTGCTCTGGCCATTGGGAACAACATGGGGTTCAACATGTTGCCCAAGGGGAGAACCACTGACTTATGGGTTAGAGGACAATTGCTCAATCAAAAATGTGCTGGTCTTAACCCTTGTGCTCTGTTCGGGCGTACGTGTTTCTCTTGTGTTCCCGTTCAAAAAGAGAGTACAAGCCTGCTGCAGTCTCATCTGACCTCACTTATCTGGACAACAACTGGGGCCCGCTGTCTCTGGCTGCATTTATCTTACTAATTCTGTCTGTTGCAAAGCAAGGACAGCTGTCATGGTGGCACTCTGACAGCTAGTACCAAGCCCCCAATGTCCCAGAATACAAATCCAAAAGATCTGAGGGGCGAAACTCTGCCCACCGGTCCCCTCTTTACATTGCTGTTAGGCTTTTAGCTGTTTGAGTATTCTGACAGAAAAAGCCTGTTGGTGTGGTGGAAAGGGGAAAGCATGTACTGAGAGTATGTTATCAAATACAAATAAATAATATGATTCAATCAGTTTACTGTCTGAGAGTTGTGTTAGGTCTGATGGTCATTATTTTATTTACAGATTAAAGGCTTTACCTTAAACGGTATACTGTAAAATGTAAAAAAAAAAGAAAATAGTAATATTCTGGCAGCTGGGGTGCCAGAAATTACTATAAAGTTATAGAAAGTAGCCATCTTCTAAAGTAAAACAATGTCCCTTAATTTTTAAATAGCTTTTTTCCATTTAATTAGGAAAGCTTGTGTAATTAAAACATTTGTTATGTTAAAAAAAGATATTAAACTTTAAAGCCCAGGAATTTTCCCTTTATAAAATGATAAAAACAAATCATTTAAACTATACTGACAACAATATACTGCTAATTTTAGAATATTTATACAGTAATATTAGTGAGCATTCATTGCACATTGTTACAAACACAATAAGTTTTCACCATGAATGGGTTTGACAAACTAAAAAAAAGAGAGAGAGAGAGTAAGTGAAACAGTAAATGGAAAATATTTTTAATAGTCTTTTTATCTGAATAAGGAAAATTTTCTTTAAAAAATGAAAATTTTATGGTATTTCACAGCTACTGATTTTTCCTGATTTTTTTTTTTTATTTGGCATGTAATTTCACAGTATAATTTTAAAAAAATTTATTACCATTTCCAAGTATGTTGAAAATACAGAGAAGATCTGTAAAATAAACAAGAAAATTCCCTAAAACTATGAGTTTTTCTTTTTACAGTGTAGGATGGTTTAGAGATGATGTATGATAGCTCGGCCACAACCAAAGACACATATGGCTATACTTTTACTTTATTATAATTCTCATTTCTTAATGTCTGGAGGCCACTGAATAGAAAACATAGCACAAGAACCACTGGTTCATCACATACATCATCACTCCCAGTCAGGTCGACTTAAAGACAGACGTCTTTCTGCCAAAATAAACATCCAGTCTAATTTGTGTTGTAACTATAGCTTTGCTCCACTGCAGGGGTCTCAGCAGTCACTCAGTGGGATGATCTGGTGTGGTTGATGAGAATACAAAGGGCATGGAGCTAAAATGGAAATCATCCTGGCTATAGCAGTAGCAGAAGGAGTGTTGACAAGTGTTACTCAGCCTTAATTAATACATCAAGTTCTTCTTGGGATTAAGAGAAACGAGGTGACAAACCATTTCAATAATTTTACACTTTTACAGCAAATTTGAATGACTGTAATGTTCTTATAATGTTACCTCCCAGTCACACACCACCAGATTTCTAAACATTTATGCTAAGTGAAATTCAACCTTGTAATTTAATAAAACCAGCTGTACATCTAGTAGTGTAGCCTCTTTCCAGTTATCACTGAGTCAGCTGTATTAAACAGGCTTTACATAAAATGTGAATTTTCATCTGATAAGCATGTGCTAGTACTTATTCATTTAATTCCTTTTTAATTAAATGAACTCGTTGGGGTATGGAAGTCTTAGTCCATTTCGAATGAGGAGGGAGGTGAGTGTGGCCAAAGGGTTCAGTTAAAAGTTACTGTATTACAATGACCTGGAAAAGATGATGTGGAAATATCATGAGGGAAACAGTGTTTAGCTTTTCTGCCAGGGATGCTCTGCCCCCTTGTGATAAAAAGAGCTGAATGTCTGTGCAAGAAACCATATGTGTTTGCTCACATTATAACAGTTTAAATTTCCAACAGACAAAGATGAACATTAAAAACATGTACAGTTGAGTTCACTCTGCTTTCCAGTAGGAATATGAATTAGACATGTGGAGGCAAGGAATGAGTGCATTTGCATAATACCCGCTTTAACTGAACTGTTAAGTGGATGAATATTGCAACAGATGTTGATCTAAGTAATATCACTGTTGTGGTTATTTTATGAGCTGGGTTTTAGATGTGTGTGATAGGTGACATAGACTGTCAGTGTAGGATGTGATGTCCTATCTTTGTCATTGATGGCAAGGATATGATGCAATCCTCTATTTTGCAGTTTAAGTTTAGATGTATCCTTATTCTTTATTTCATGCTAACTTTTATACAAAAAAAAATTAGCTGAAAATCAAAGAAGTTCCACTGTTCTTGTGAATTTCTGTCATCTTCAGTGACATGTTAATTAATGTCTTTGATTTGACTGACAAACCACTGTGGTAAAAACTGATTTTACCAAAGGAAATAATAAATAAATGACAAAAAATGTGACTATGCATACACACACTTACACACAGAAGAGAGTGAAAAGTTGAATTGGGTTTTTAGCATTGGAATTTATTAAGGACTTGAACAATAGCAACATAGCATTTAGGACATTTAGCATGATGCCAATAATACCAAGGCATAAAAGAAATGTATTGGATAATACTTTGGGAAGGACTGGCTTCCTGAGTTTGAGCATTCAGTACAATTTCCTGTATGATGAACCTTGATTCTATTAAAAAATGTCAACTTTCTTTAAAAAACCAAATACCCGAATAGGACCGACTCACGCTGAACAAGCTGTAAACAAATTTGTTACCATGGTTATCACTGTTTACTCATCCAACTGATCCCACTGATAAATATGAGAACAGGGTGGACATGAAGAACTGATCCCACCAGTGCAAGATTTAATTTTCTTTCTGACTATATTTGTCATGCTTCTTGTTTTGTAAGCTTATTATATCCTTTGCACGCTGACTTTATTGGGTTATGTCTCTTATCTTTACAAACATCTGCTTACTTGTGTGACTGTGACAGTTAAAATTTCCTTTGTGAACAATAAAGGTAATCTGGTTTTATGTGAGTAATTATATTATGTAACACTGAGTATAGTTTAAACTACAATGTGATGTGTAGCTAGTATTGATATTTGGTCATAGTACATCAGATCAGATGTTCCAAGATTTTGGAAATGATATAGGCCAGTATGTATTTGTGATTTAAAGCTCATTCTTGACCCAGAAAACAACAGGTGAGAAATAAATACAGTGGGGTCAAGTTAGTAGTCTACCTGAATAAATAAAGTTTATAATGTATTTATCTGACCAATATATATATATATATTTAGCTTTTTTGTTTTCTTTTTTGTTTGTAGCCTACAGATTCTGTAATATCAACAAAAACAGAAATTCTCTGTACATGAGCGCAATACCGCTTCATCAATGGCTGTATATGTCTGCCATTTATTTATTTCATCAATGGGATGAACGTGTTGACTCAGGCGGGATGACGTGGCCTTTCTGAGATAATAAAGACCTGTTTTATAAAAGTATAAGAACCAGTTGGACGTTGATAAGAGTATAAATCATAGCTCCCAGTGTCATCAGCAAGGGGCGATATTGTTCCACAGACTTTGTCCCTTTTCCTCTGGCGTTGTCCTGTACTAGTCCCGGCGTTCGTGACGTCACCAACGGGACCGGTAGTCAAGGTAAACAAAACCAGGACAAACACACCGGAAGTTAAGGGATGTCCTTCAAAATGAGAGTGGCTTTTTTAAATCAGTTGCTCATTATTGACTATTATAAGCCCGGCACAAAACAAAATGGATATTAAAGTATACAAGTGCAAGCATTTATGAATAACTAATAAAACTGTGATATAAAAAGCAACACACCATTTTAGTTTCAACTGCTGCTCATATAAACTAAGAATCGGATTTTTACTTTCATTAAAAGTATACTTCAGTAAACCATTTATTATTGCTATTGTTTTCAAATGTTCTCTATAATCTACATACAGTTTGGAAAATTGTATTAATATTATTCTGCTTACAAAATTAATGTTTTTATTTTGACATTTTGAGTAGGCTATATTTTGTTCATAACATTTATGGCTGGATAATGGGCAAGGCGGGCAACTGCGCAGGGGCCCCAGACTCCTAAAGACCCCAAAAGCCCCAGATATATAACATAGTATTGGAGTCTATATAATTTGATTAACTGGAAAGTTGTTAAAAAAAACTTGCTCCACTAATGAACACTATCAACTATAATGGGTCCTTGGTCTCTGAGAAAAAAAAAGTTTTTTAGTCATTAACTGTTTTAGTTTAGCTATACTGTGGTTGCTCAGTGTGAAGTTGTTTTTTTTTTTATCAAGTTGCTTACATTAATTTGTATGTAATGTTGTTCAAACACAAAAAGCCTCAAGTAATGTCATATTATTCCATCACAGAAGTTCTGTAAGGCTGCATCCAAAAACTCGTTTCATTAAAATTGTTCTTGAATATTTTACTGACTGTTTAGTATATAAGAATGTCAGATAATGTGTAGCCTAGTAGAAAAATGCCCATCATTATTTCCTGAAGCTGAAGTTAAGTTAATTTAATATCTTAGAAAAGCAGAAAACTAGCAAATATTCACATCTGAGAAGCTGGTAACTGGGTTTATGTTTGTTTGGTTTTTTTTTTTAGAAAATGAACTAATACATTTATCAAGTAGGCCTAAGCCTAATCATTTCTACTCTAGCGTTAGTACTTGTTAGCTTTTGGGTACTTGGAAAAATAACAACAATCTTGTATAAACGTTCAGCAGAGGCCCAGAAATATATTTTGCTGACGTCTAGCGAGCCGCGACACTGTGTTTTTATTAGTTATGTCGAGCCATTTTCAAGTCGCCTATGGGGACTCGAGTCAGTATCACCGAAATTATAGGCTACTACATAGTATACAATAGTTACTGCCTGCTCCCAAACATAATTTTGTTTTGAAAGTTGAAACCGGGCGTCCATTGTTCTTCCTGAGTAGCTTGATACTAGCGATTGAGGTGGAGGCAGTGAGCTTGCGACAGAAAAACAAGCGAGACAGGTCGAGCAATACATAGTCGGTCCATGTTTTAAAAGAAAGAAATTAGTAATATCCATGGATATGTGAATCTTTGAAAAACGTTATTTCTGTCACCTTTATGCGGGCTTAGTCTCTTATTGTTTGGTACATTGGTTTCCATTTTGGCGTGCTGACTGTCGCCGTTTGCCCATTCTCACTGGAGTGAACACTAAGGTAAGCCAGAAACCGCAAATCAACTGTGTAAGTTGGTGCACTTGGAGGGCTACTTTGCCCACTTAAACACTATCTAAATATCTGTTTGGGGTTTTATTTCTTAGTGAAAATGTTTAATCCAAACTGTCGTAAAAGTTGGGATAAAAATGGTAGTTTACTCATGCCACTTTCTAGATTTGACGCTGGGTCTTTGTCCACTCAGATGTGGTTTCTAAACTCAACGTTGTGCTAACCCCCCGGTTTACCTCACACTTGCGCTTGTTGTGATTAAATACCACACAGTGTAGCTGAAATTTTCGTTCTTACAAGTAAAACATGACGTTAAATGTATCCACTTAACCGTTTTGCAGTATGTGTACCTGTGTACTTATTGAAGGCCTGTAAGCGCTGGCTACTATAGCAATCCACAAGCGGGTCTTTAGACGTACAACGCTACGTTTCTTGGGATATTGGCTCAGTTTGAATCATTTTTTTTATGATTGTTTTGTTGACGCATTGTTATAAAGTCAAATTTTTCTTTGTTCGGGTGCTTGTCCTGTGTCAGAGCTTCTGTTAAAAGCGCAGTAGCTTACACAATGAACCACATTTACCCACACAGCACAGTCTGGCGACTGGTGCCACATGACATGCGCTTATCAGTGTTTCTGGTAATTAATCCTTCCCGTCAATTCCTAGAGATGATAGATTGCACTGCGCGTAATGTGTGGCTGGAGTATTTGGCCAATAATTATGCGTAAACTCAATAATTTTGTCTGATGAACAGACCTGGAGAAATATTTTTTTCTCGACCCACTGTGTTTGGAATGTAATGATTCTGGTTCCTTCAAGGTTCAGAGAGTAGGTTTTGGTGCAGGTGTTTGAGATACCTACTGTGCAGACACACCCTCTGTTAAAGGAACCGTGATAGTGCAGAGTCTAGACTGTAGGACAATGTTCACTCAGCAATGACAGGTATGTGGAAAGCAAGTACAGCAACAGTCTGCAGAGCCAGTATTACCGAAACTTCCTCTCTTGCATCATAAGTTAAAAGCCCTCAAGGCAAAGACATATGACAAAATATTTTCCAGATTTAACAGAATATTTCAAACTTACTAGACAATATAAGAAAACAGACTTTTAACTCTGCTACATTTATCTGAAAACTAGTCACTTGTTACTTTACCAGTTCATTTTACATTTAAAGTAGAATTTTGAATGGCGGTCCTTTACTTGTAATAGTGTTACAGTTTCCATAGTGGTATTACTACTTTTAAGATAAGAGTACTACTTCCGTCACTGCCATGATTGTTGACTCTTGTTGTTGGGCTGAAACAGGATACTCAGTTGGCAGTTTATCAGTTCCACCCAGTTAACATTAATGTAGGCTAATATGACAAGTTCTTCCATCATGAATGTGATAATGTTTAGTTTTAATTGAAAGGCTTTCAGTGAAGTGTTGATTCAACCGTACGGTCATTTTTAGAGGATGTAGGCACTGATGCTGTTGTATTGCATATCAGTTGTTTTGTTCATCCCATATAAAATCAATTAGTTTAGTCTCTCTGTGCAATCTTCATCTTCCAAAATGACCATACAGTTGAATTTACACCTCTTTAAAACAGTTTGGGAAAAAAAACTGAATATCAGTATCTAATAAACTGGCAACTGACTCTAAGTCAGCAGGCAGAAAATTAATAAGTAACAGTTGGTTACCCTAACGTGTGCTACTGTATGTATCTGTGCGGCTTCACAGTAAGGTTTAGTCCTGTGTAAGGTATTTGCCAGGAGGTCAAGCCTTGCTCATGCCAACCATTTACTAGTTGGCCTACTACTTGTAAATAATAAGCCTCCTGAAAGTTAAATAAATGTGAAAGCCTAAATCATGTACTGGTTTTGGAAATAAAGTACACAAGAAAAGATGTTTTGATAGATACTCATTTATTTACGAATTATTTGTAAATGGTATAAGCATTTATCTTAAATGTAATATAGGCTAGATTATTGAGTAAAAGAATGAGTATTCATTGTTGTATGTACAAGTAAGGCAGTTCTAACAGTTAAGAGGAGCTGAAATTATTAGTCAGTTGTCAGAAATTTTAAGAAGCAGTTATTTTGATAACCAGCTGTTTTATTTCCCAAGTAAACATCTCTAACTCTAGTTTTTGCAGTGTGAGGATTTGCTGCTGTATTTCACTTCAGTATCACAGGAAATTGAATGTTCTGAGTTGTGGACTGTTGTTTTAACCACTCAGGACATTTTAACACATTGCTTTAGGCCTTTGGAATTTGTGATAGGCATTTTTCATTATTCCCTTATATTTGACAGATTACAGAAGTGTTGAGAATATAATTGACACAATAACAATTTTAAAAAAGTTTGTTTCAGGTCTGTAGGTGATAGTTCAGTAAAGGTAATGGTACATTCTGTGGCCTCTTATTAAGAAAGTAATAACAGGTTAAATGTTAAATACCATAGATAATCTAAAGAGGTTTTATAATAGTTTTCAGCACAATCTATGGTGTTTTATTATAAGACATAATGGAAAATAGGCAAACACTCCAGATTAATTAAAAATATACCGATATACCTTCATAATAGTAACAACCTGCATGTAATGATTAACAACATTTTCAGGCTGATAAAAAGAACAAACAGAGGTGTTAATGCCTGACATTCATTATTTACACCTACACTGCCGTGTTTTTCTTTGTCTGATTCATGGGATGTATTTTCCACTGACTGATGTTTACATGGAAAACACTTTTATGGCAAATGAAATGTAGTCATGATATTTTTCCAATTCCCCAGCTTCATATGGACCATCTGAATTTACCATTTAACAAGTGACCACTAGTGCTGATGGAAGATGATCACCACCTGCAGTCGCAGGCTTGATGTTACTTAATGATAGATGATAAAGTTAAGGATGAAACTGGAAGTGACATTTATGCAGCTTTGATAATGTCATGCTGAATTCAGTATGTGTGCAGAAAACTCCTATATTTCCTTGTTTTGTTTTGGTTGCATTGGTTTTCATTGACATTGGTTGAATAACAAAAAGCATTTCTTGTTTCTCACTGGTTTCCTTCTCAAGTCACACATGGGCTTGCCATTTTAGCCACATCTTTGCAAATGAGGTAACTTATAAGTCAAATGCTCTGTCTTCATTATATTTGATTGCATAGTTATGGGCTGAAACTAATGACTCTGCTTGTCTTTCTCTCATATGATGCTTAATGGGCCAAAACTGCTCTCACACACTTCACACAAACAAGTGAGGAGATATCACACAGTGCCTGTACAACATTTTATGTTTTGTATATCCACTGGTTTGAGTAGGCGTTGTTGGAACAAGACTGTTACACTAAAATGTGAATGGCCTAAAGTACATAGAAGGTCCTACGAGTGTAGCATATGTGAGTCCCACATAATGCAATGTAATATTTATAAATGTAATAGATTGTAACTAACAATTAAAATAATTCTTACTTTAATAAAATACTTTTATGAATGTGTGCATCCTCCCTTTCATTTTATGACACAATTACACAATTTCTTTCGAAAAGTGAACTCCAGCTTGTGGAAGTACTTTATTGCAATATTAGGCTTAGGAAAGTCTTTATTACATTTATAGTTCATCCTGTGGCACAGCTTGTATACAGTATGTTTTGTTGCTGTTTGGACATCCCAAACAAAATAACATAATTCCTTGTATATCTACAAGAATCAGCCTCTCCTGCGGTTTTATGAGTTACTGTACACTGTCGGTCTCTAGCAGTCATTGAGGAAGCTTCAGTACAGCAGGGAAAACTGCAGCAAATAAAGAAAATTGTCAAAATTGGCATTTTGGCTTTGTGGAAACTATGTTTGCCTCCCTCAGGAAATGTCTCTAGGAAAGGAAAAGGGATTAAGTGTTGGTACAGATAAGCAGTCAAGACACGGAGAGAAACTCATGAGGAACGTCATGTTGGTAGCAAGATAAAGGCCATCCCATTGTCATTGTAATCGTATGTAATCTAGGGAAAGGGTGGCCATTAAACTGAGTGCACACAGTTATGACAGACTGGGCGAAGCGGAAAATATTGCTGCTCTGCAAGTTTATGCTCCTTTAGGCGGTGTTTTGATATGTTACTCTTATTGACCTTTTACCTGCGGTTTTATTGTACGTATAGTAATGAGCTTGGGTGTTGTCAACTCAAGTAGCCTAATGTTTCATCTCACAAGATGCTCCAAAAATGGTCCCACTAGGTGCAATGGATTTATGACACCAGACAAAATGGAATGTGGCACAATAACTGTTTTATCTGTTATTCTGTTTTCATAATTATTGGAAGGTGCAATTGTAATTACCTTCACCAAGGGCAGGGGTTATGTTTTTGCCAGTGCTTGTTTGCTTGTGTGTTTATTTGTAAACAGCGTAACTCAAAAATTAATGAATGGATTTGGATGAAATGAAACAAAAGGACCAATGTTGTATACAAATGTGTGTTAACTTGGGCTTAAAGATCCATAGTCAGTGAAATTACTGCAAGAAGTAATGTCTGTGAGAGGGTGGTCACGAGAAAGGGAAGAGGGAATGACCAGCCCTATGTTTAAATATTTATCTACCATCCATTGTGTTATAGTGAGGGCTTGTGGAATTTTTGATAACTTCAGAACAATGTGCTCAGCCTCAGCCTGTTGTCAGTGTGACCTGTAGCACTGCAGCAAGGTCACCTTTAGGTGTTAAGTGCACGGTGCACGTCAAACATAAGTGAGTTATGTAACCCTAACCTCTCCCGACACAGCAGAAGTCAGTACGGTTAATGAATGTAGTTAATGAATGTCACAGAGCAGTATCAAAATATGTGGTGAAACTTGTGTAACCAGTGTCACTGTCATGATTGCTTGATAATTGTTTTCTGTCACAAATAAAATTCAGTTCTACTATTCATGTGATTAGAAGAGCCCCATCCTGACTCCATCAACCTCCACTGTTTTTTAAAAATAATTATTAATGTTAATATGCTAACACTCTAAA